TCAGGCTCCTTCCCCACCAGAGAGGTGACATTCCATAGGAAAACTTGTGTAACTTATGTGATTCTTGCAAGAAATCTGCTGTCATTCACACAAACAAATCTTAAAACCCAGATGCACTATTTTAATGAATGCACTGTTAGAACCTGCATGCATGAGACAGTGCTCAAAGCAAGCGTGTGCATTTGCTTTCTACAGTAAGTTGAAATTTGTTTTGCATATTTTTCCACACTTAAATGTGTCAGTCCTGTGTGGGTAAAGTAACTGCCCCCTAAATATAACTGGTTGAGTCACTGTTGGCAGAAACTGCAACTCCAATCAAGCATTTGTGATAACTTTCAATGAGTCTTGTACATTACTGTGAAGGAACTTGGCCCCTTCCTTCAGCCACACTACATGCTTTTTGAACATGAACAATGCTTTTTAAGGTCATGCTAAAGCCTCTAAATCTGCTTTCAGTCTGGACTTTGACCAGACCACACCATAACCTTGATTTTGTTTCGTTCTTTGTGCCATTTGGATGTGAACTTGCTGTTGTGTTTTGAATCATTGTCCTGCTGCATAACTGAAGTTATGTGCACGTGACCTTCAGGGCATAAACTGATGGCCGTACATTCTCCTTCAGGAGTTTCAGGTAGAGAGCAGAACTCATGTATGATGTAAACAGAATTGGTTCTAGCACGGAGCCTTTGTGTGTGAAGAGGACTCTCCATTTACATGAACAAATTGGAGTATATTAGATAGATATGATTCAAACCATTGCAGCGTAGTACATTTAATTCCTACGACATGCTCTAATGTCTAAAATCTATAGTCAATAGTATCAAACAGCAGAACAAGAACAGAGATGAATCCATTGTCAGAGGTGATAATAAGATCATTTATAACCATCTCTAATGCTGTTTCTGTACTATGATGAGCTCTGATGTTAACTCAGTAGGATCTACCAGCAAAAAAGAGTGAATACCAATGGTTTTGACCTGTACCTTATGATACGTCTGTGAGATATCTTGGTGAATGCTCAATCATCCAGGTAGGAAAATCCCCAAAAGATGATTCTGTACATCTGGATGTTTCCAGTAGGAGAAATATTTTGTCACTGAGTGGTGAATTGTCACTTTATTCAGTACAGCACCGTTGATTTTATGTGACCTCTTCATGATTAAGAGGTTAATAGTGTGCAATGTGATTAGTTTCAAAGTTGGATCCAACCTCAGCATGTCAGAGGGCTGTGGCGGCAGCCCTTGTGTTAATACTGTGGACCAAAAGGAAGATGCTCGAGGCAGGAAATGAACAAAAAAACGAGCCGTTTATTGAGGCTGAGAAAAACATGCAAAACAAAGGGCAAACGGGAACACTAAGAACATGGAACATGAAAACCTGGACTTGGGAAAGAAGACCTGAAACGTGAACTATTGATAAGCATGATAAGCAGATGACCTGACGATGAACAAAGGCTAAAACACAGAATATATACAAGCGAAGTGGAAACACATGTGGAACACAGCTGGGATGAATAGACATAATGACACAGAGGAAGCAAAACTAAACACACTGAACATAGGACGAGAGACTGTCAAAATAAAACAGGACTCACACTGAAACACAGACTAAGACACATGGTTTGACACGGGGCTGTAGGAAAGAAGCAGGCATGGGGATGAGACAGACAGAAGAGATACAGAGGGTGAGAGACATGACGGGCTGGCGAGAACACACATGACAGACAGGGGAGACATGGAATGAAACACAAGGAGGGGGACATGGGAACAGGAAAGCAGAGATGAAACACAAGGGCATGACTGGTTTGTTCTAGATTTAATTCACATTTTATTTCCAGTTTTTCTGCCCGTTTTAAATTTCAGTGTGATCATTGTTGTCACGTTCTGTTTTAATAACACCAAGTATGTGTTTGACTCTTTGGCACAAAGCCATGAGGTTAAATGTCTCACATATTTCAAGTTTTTTAAAAACTCTACTTCAGGGAATCCTCGATCACCAGATGGGGGTGTGTATCACTAAAGGATTCTGAAGCAATCACAGTTTGCAGAGACTTTATAATTTTGGTTCGATTCCCGGGATCAAATGCCGAAAAAGCGGGAAGATAATATCTTCTTCACACATGAGTGATGATTTTTGAGTGAATACACACTGAGGGTCAGTAACTATAAAGCATTTGAAAGGCAAGATCAAAGCTGGCATTGTTCAGTTACTATAAAACGTTCGTGACGTATTAAAGGTTATGAGGCTTCTTCCATGGAAAGGCAGGTATGAAACCACACACACACACAGACTGCATTTTGCACTTGTGTATGTGGGTGTGGAAAGCAGAGGACCGGGTCTCTTTACTCTGAAAAAGTCTGTCCTCACTCACTCTGAGCTGGATATACTGAACAAGAACCATGCTCCGCTTCATCCTGTTGGTATGTAACATTTCTGTTACATTTTATTTCTTATAAAACTATGTGCTGATTATGTGAGCAAATCTTGTGTGCCGATCTCGTCATCTATCATATGTCCACATAATGACAGATGACAGATGCCACGTGACAGATGTTATCTGAAATCTTCTTATAGACAACAACAAAAAATCCTCCAAAATATATTTTTCTTTTAGTTTTTAGATTGCTTAAAATGGAGTTAAGGGTTTGTTATGAGCCATAAAAGTCAGGGACTTCCTTTGAAATGGTTTCATTTTTCTTATCATGCTAAATGCCTTTGCATGTCAATAGAAATATGTGTGTGCGCTCACCTTATCAAAACCTGTTTACCAACAAAGCAGGAACATAAATTAAAGCTACAACCTTTTGCCATACCTTAACATTCCTGCTTTGTCTTTCAGGTTTATTGTTTGTCAAGTGCAGCAAACTCAGAGCTGTTGAGCCGTCACAGAAGGGCGTGGATTATTGATTCCTTTGAGATTGAGGAGGGCCATCCAGGGCCATTCCCATATGAGTTGGGCAAGGTGAGAAATTCAAGCAGAAAATGTCCATTTCCAAATTTCATAAATAAATAATGACAAATCCGAATGACATATTTTTACTTTGGACTTGGTGTTGGCTGCCCATTTTGTATGACATTCACTGTAGAAATGTAGAACATCGCTTGAATGTAATGGAAATAAGCATACAGCATTGTCCATTTATGATCAGTTGCTTAAAAAAGAAAAATCCACTAACAGTGTACAAGCAGTTTTGTGTTTCAAATGTGTATTTTGTCCTCTCTTTCTTTCTTTAGTATACAAAAATAATCGATTAAACTTTGGGAGGAACTTTCATTTTAATGTAATTGCCAGAAAATACCCGTAGTATCCACCATAACTGACCTCACGGACATTTGCTGTTGTGTTGTAGGTGAGTGTTGATAGGGAATATCAAATATACTTTGAACTGCATGGACAAGGGGTGGACGAGGAGCCGATGGGAGTCATCTCCATAGACGAATACTCTGGCATGTTGAACGTCCACAAGGCCGTGGACTATGAGAAGTGGCACACACTTGAGGTTAGAATCGACACATGTTAAACTCCAACATGTAGCGATGCCGCAGAATTTCTGTTCACAGTGACCATGAAAAAATCTGTTATTGTGGAGTCGTCACTGTTAATAGGTTTGCAGGACAAACAAATTAGAGTTCTAATCAGATTATGTATTATCCTCTGTAAATATGAGGTTTTCCCTGATTTCATACACGATATGTAAAATATTGACACTAAAACATCTTTAAAGCACATTTTCTTGTGAGAGAACTGAAAAATATTTGTATTATGATTTTTCACACTACATTCCCAATGTCCAACAATTTATAATGTTTGTCTTTATACTGTAACTAACTCTGCATGATATCTTTTGATGTCTAGCTAAGATTTGAGGCCAGAAAAATGGACGTATCAATGGACACCAGGTTAGGAATTCAGATTTCTATAAAGGACATCAATGACAATCCACCACGCTTTGAGAGGGATCTGTATGAGATTAACCTTCCTCAGGAATCAACACAAGGTAAAAGTATACAAACAAGCAAACAAAAAATGCTCCTTGATTTGAACTTAATTACACAGTGATTATTAAATATGCTCGTTAGCTTGAGTTATTATTTCCCAACAGGCTCCAATCTTTTGAAAGTGCACGCTACTGACATAGACAAGAGAGAAACACTAAACTCAACCTTCCACTATGAAATCAAATCTGTGTCTCCAAATGTTAGAGACACTGAACTCGTCATTGAAGAGTCTGGATACATCTCATTCAAAGGTTGTTTAAATTATGAGGTAAGAGACTCTTTTGTTGATATGTCAGGAGCACAAAACACTTTAAAGATGAGTAAGAAGAACGGAGGTATTTCCTGTTTGGCTAGATCTGTAACTGATAAGACAAAGTAAAACTAAGCATTTATGCAGATATGAATATTTGCTTTGAGTGCTTTCTCATGTGTGCTTTTGTTCCAATGAGCAAATTATCTTCCTGTACTACATAAAATTGCCAGTAAGCTACATTTGGTGACAAGTGGTCCAACTCCTTTGGGAGGAAATATAGAGAATAGTATTAATTCTTTATTCTTCTTTTAGTCTGTTAATGTGAAACTCTCCATTTGCTTGTATTAAGGTGGCTGAAAAGTTTACAATAGTGGTGGAGGCCAAAGACCACGGTGAAGTAGTCAAACTGTCCAGTTCAACCATTGTTGTCATTCATGTAGGGAATGGCAACAACCACCTTCCAGTCATCAGCGGTCAAACGGTAGGCAGTCAGTTGGTGTTGCAAACTCCAAACAGCACCAGTTTCAGCAGTTTCACACCTGTAACCTGATACCTATGTGTAGTGTATACAGAACACAAGGTAAGACCCAATGGTGATGTGGCATTGATTAGTCAAAATATAAACATAAGAAAAGAAAACTGAGGTAAATTGAAAAATTGTGAAAGGTGGAAAGAATAAAATATGCAAATAATATCATATTTCAGTTGCATTTATACTGGGTTTTAGGCCTAAAACATGGATGCAGTTACATTGTTGTTGTTATTACATATTTCATATAATCGCCTAATCATAATTTTATAGAATGATATCTGCCTAAACCACAAACTAATTACAAGGAATATAAACACTTAATCAACCACACTGAATCCACGATTGCATAAATTGTAATATCAATAAACATAGATGAGGAAATTGTATACATTTCATGTTTTGTACTAGTACCAGGGAGTACTTCTACAGGTTTATACACCCTGTATTCAAACCACAGGGCACTGGTAAAGTGAAGGAGCTTGAGACTGGGGTCTCTCCTGTGAGGCTGCATGTGACAGACAAAGACACCCCCCACACCTCGGGATGGAGAGCCAGATACACCATACATGGTGACGAGAGAGAGAACTTCAAGATACTAACAGACTTAGAGACTAATGATGGGATCCTGACAGTAGTTGAAGTAAGTGAAGGTTGGCTACATGTCATGCATTACAATGACACCCACAGTTTCTCTGTAACTACTTTCTCAACGTCTCTGTAATATATATTTGTCAAACCTGCTTTTTGGGCTAACAAAGATTATCCTCTTATATAATGATGCTGAAAATAGCTTCTGAATTTCACAAAGAAAAATTTACTGACTTTGCAACTCTGTTGTATAATTTCAGCCTTTAGACTTTGAGAATGGGGCGCAGAGGGAGCTGCTGATCTCAGTGGAAAACGAGGCGCCGTATTACTCCTGTGAAGTAAAAGAGAGGACGCCCTCAGGCCTCTGGAAAGTTGACACCATTAAAGGCCATGATCCCTCTGGTGCAGCTGAACCTCAGTCTGTAAAAGTCACCGTTGATGTGGAGGATGCCAATGACCCTCCTAATTTCAGCATGACCCTGAAAGAGGTCGCGGTGATGGAGAACGTACCCGCTGGAACCTGGTTTGATAAAGTGACAGCTGTGGATCCTGACTCCAATTATTCCAAAGAGTTTGTGTAAGCGATTTATTTGATTAAACATTTCTGAACGTTGATCTGAAGCTGTTCAGTTCTGTCTAAGTGCACTGAATCTGTCCACAGGTACAAGGTAGGAAATGATCCTGCTGGCTGGGTGACGGTGGATCCCCTCACAGGAATCATCACAATGATAAAGACGCCCGACAGAGAATCTCCACACGTTGTTAACGGCACCTACACCATCTTAGTGTATGCAGTTGACAAAGGTAAACACACACTCTGACTTTTAAAACACAAACTGCTTTTTTTTTACTACATTTCTTGCATCTTGGACAGGTATACCACCAATGACAGGAACAGCTACACTACATATCCATGTGTGGGACCAGAATGACAATGTGCCACAGCTAACAGTGGACAGCCTGGATGTGTGTGTGTTTGATGCCCCCACAACCACCAACATCGAGGCCTTTGACCCAGATGAAGCCCCTTATGGAGGGCCTTTCACTTTTGAACTGTTGGGAAATGTTGAAGGAAAATGGAGACTGAATCCTGGTTATGGTAGAAACATCCTTCATGTATTTAGTGACATATTACAGAAAAACAGGCACAAAAGCCAGAACTCCTAAAGTATCCTATCATTTCCTGATCTTTTCTTCAAGGTTATACAGCTGGTCTGGTGAAGGAGCCCGGTGTGTCCTCTGGTCAACACACAATTCATCTAAAGATCTCCGACATGCAGGGAGCATTTAAAGTTTACAACCTCAGTGTGACTGCATGTGGCTGCACTGTGACACCAAACTGTCGAATTCGCCAGAAATCTGAAATAAACATTGGCCCTTATGCTTTATGCATAATAATTTGTTCACTCTTACTTCTTCTGTGTAAGAAACACACCGTTTACTTTAGTGTAGGAGAACTGTGATATGTGTGCTAACATCTCTAAGAACCCAGCATAAGTTTTATTTTACTCTTTGACAGTTCTGCTGCTGCTGGCTCTCAGCATCTCGTCCAAAAGAGAGTTTTTTACTATGGAGCCTGAAGATTGTTCAGGAGGAATCCTCCTCCAATCAAACACTGAGGCACCAGGAGACAACTGCGAGGTCACTGTTTAGAAACATTTGCATCCATGCCAATGACCCATTTTAAGGGAAATATCATTAAACTGTTTCTTTTTCTTTAGATTCCTGTCACTATTATGGAAGAACCAGTTTGTATGGAGCAATATAATCAATCTAATTTCCATATTCCACTGAGTGGGATGAGAAATGGGAGATATTCAGCAAGGGTGGGTATGAATGAAGTTCAGACTTTTGGCAGTTTTCGGAGTTTACGCTCACAACCTAGGGTAGGTCATTCTTCCATAGAGCATGTACTTTTGTAAAAGCATCTCAGAATCCTCTACAGATCACCTCCTGCTCTTGTCGTCCTTTTGAACAGGATTTTACACAGAGGTCCATCCACCCACGCTTTGGGGATTTCAGAAGAGAAAGCCAATACAGCTACACTGGGAACCAGGTTGTACACACCCACAGAAGATCGAGGATGACTTACAAATGGATCTTAAAATAATAACTATATATTTTTGTTCTTTAAATCTCAGTCAAACTGGAATTCTCCAATAACCACTGGCTTTGACAGCAGCCATCAGGTAGAACAGCAGAGATTTGTGTTTGTAATCTTTTACTTTGAAATCAGAGATAAAGAAATGTGAACCTTTTGTGTGCAGTTTGAAGACATGAGCAATATGAACGTCCTCCAAACACAAACCGTGAGCTGTGCTACAGAGTCTAATGACATGCAGGTTAAACTGGTTCAGTGCCTAATCTCCTCAGTAAGTTACATCTCCTGTGCTGCATTATTTAAAACATATGAGCATGTATGATTCAAAAAATAATAATTTACGTGTTGCAAAATTTTCAGAAAGTGACCTCACTCTGGAAGAAAGAAGTGGACTTAGGAGACGATGAGCTTCACATCTATGCAGTGGAAGGGAATTTAGAAACCAACTCAGCGTTGGAGACAATCAACATTTTGGAAGAGGATTCATTTCAGGACACACTGAAAGATCTGGGTCCAAAGTTTCACCAACTGGCTTCTATATGCAGCCTGACACAAACACAGTACTCAGGATATCCTGTTATGTAGCAAACATTTTTGTTTCAAGTGTGAGGAAGAAGGCATTTAATCCCTTTATTCCATTCAGATTTGGGGTTAATTAAAAAGGGTTTGTGGCAACCACTTCTGCATGAGATATACTACCAGAGAGCTTTATTGTTAATCACATGTGTTTAATAACTGTGCCACATGCATCTTCATTTTTCATATCAAAATGAGGAAAGAAAAACAAAAGTGCACAGTTGCTGGATTATAATTGTTCTTCACTTTCATGTTAGGATCCAAAATGCTAATTTGCATTTGGGATAAACAAAAAAAACAAAAAATCATCTTCACTGAGTGCTCATGCAAAGGGTGGAACTCAAGGTGGTCCCCCTTAAACAAGTAGAAAACTACAGTATTTACCACAGTTTTAAGAAAATTGAAACCCTTCAGAGTCTACCTCTACCAACTTTTGGGAGCGCTCTCTGCTCAGTTGCATTTGGCCCAGGTGGTCCTCGTAAAAAGGCATTTTTTGGGGTGAGGCTGGAGATTAAGGAGGTTGTGGGGTCTTTGTCACAGAGCTGTGCCTAATGCCAAAATAAAAATGAATTGATTATGTGGTG